GGGTGTGTGGGTGAAAGGTGGGGTGTGTGGGTGAGTGGTCGGGTGTGTAGGTGAGTGGTCGGGTGTGTAGGTGAGTGGTCGTGTGTGTAGGTGAGTGGTCGGGTGTGTGGATGAAGGGTGAGGTGTGTAGGTGAGTGGTCGGGTGTGTAGGTGAGTGGTCGGGTGTGTAGGTGAGTGGTCGGGTGTGTAAGTGAGTGGTCGGGTGTGTAGGTGAGTGGTTGGGTGTGAGGGTAAAGGGTCGGGTGTGTGGATGAAGGGTCGGGTGTGTGGGTGAAGGGTGTGTGGGTGAGTGGTCGATTGTGTGGGTGAGTGGTCGGGTGTGTGGGTGAAGGGTGGGGTGTGTAGGTGAGTGGTCGGGGTGTGAGGGTAAAGGGTGGGGTGTGTAGGTGAGTGGTCGGGGTGTGAGGGTAAAGGGTTGGGTGTGTGGGTGAAAGGTCGGGTGTGTTGGTGAGTGGTCGGGTGTGTGGGTGAAGGGCGGGGTGTGTAGGTGAGTGGTCGGGAGTGTGGGTGAAAGGTGGGTTGTGTAGGAGAGTGTCGGGAGTGTGGGTGAAGGGTGGGGTGTGTAGGTGAAGGGTGGGTTGTGTAGGAGAAGGGTGGTGTTTGTCGAAAAGTGTGTGGGGGGGGGGGGAGCGGAAGAGAAAATTAATAATGGTAGGTATTTTAAAATGTATACGAAATTGTATGAGACGGCCACCCATTGTTGAAAAGAAAATGAAGGGACGACTATAACGATATTTCTAAGCGAGTAATTAAATTTCAAAGCACTGTCTTGCAGTAAGGGAAGATTTTGAAAGTGCATTTGTTGTATGTAACGATTTCAACGTGGACTTTAAAATCATTGAAACAAGAAGGTACGGAATCTGCTTAAAGTACTGTACTAACAATTTATAAGTGTTTAAACGATCTAGCAACACAATATCTTTTTATGCTCCTACAAGAGTATTTTATCCCATCTCGAAAGTTACGGACCATTAATACTTTTTCTTTTGCATCCTCTGTTGCCTTTAAGCGTTGAAGTAAAGATACAGTTTTTTATGGTATACCTGCTCCGCAGCTCTTTTAATTAGGGCATTCTAATGTTGTCAATAGTAGCCACTTAAGACTGAGCCTTGAAAAACTAACACAAAATATTGGAGGTGGGGCTTTCAAGGCAGCATCACCATGAACATTGTCGCTCTAAACCTAAAGAACCCCTCGGGGCAGTGCCACTGACTGTAGTGTCTTTTACCCCCCGGGGCAGTGCCACTGACTGTAGTGTCTTTTACCCCCCGGGGCAGTGCCACTGACTGTAGTGTCTTCACGCGATTCTCAAAGGGGGGACATTTCTCGTTCAAGCAAAATAGAATTGTACATGGGCTGATTCATCATGTCACGCTCATAATTGTGCCTGATCTACTACAGGGAACTGCTGCTTTTTCTTTCCTAATCCTTACTATTGTCATTTTCCTCTACTTCTTTTGTATGTTTGTCGCTCTCTTGTGACCTGCTATTTCCGGGGTGTCTTGATAGTCGAAGCAGACCTTGTGCTGCTGAAGTTAGAGAGGTGAGCAGAGTAAGTCTGATTCCCTGTGAAGACTTCTCTGTTGACACCCACTCCTTGGCGCTCATATGACCTTAAGCAGTTGCGAGCGCCGTAAAACCCTCTACTAAAGAAAAAGAGAAAGCTAAAACTTCGCACTCACCAGCACCCATGAGAAGCCCTATAGTGACGCCATTGATCACCGCTATATTGGCGCGCGACTCCTCGAAGGTGTCTTGCCAGTCTATAAACATGGCCGTCATGGACACCGGAAGTCCGTAGGACAGGCCGAAGCTGAAGACTCCGCAGACAGCGACCAGCCATTTGTTAAACGTGGGTTGTTCCCGCACTACTTCCTGGTGGACAGACGGGCCAGACGTCTGCTTCATTGATTCCTCCGCGGGCTAAACAGGCGATCTGAACATCGAAGGAGACAACTCAGATTATTGCGGAAGTTTTGATAAATGATGATGAGGAGGAGGAGAAGGAGGAGGAGGAGGAGGAGGAGGAGGAGGAGGAGGAGGAGAAGGAGGAGGAGGAGGAGGAGGAGGAGGAGGATGATGATAATGATGATGATAACAATAAAAATGATAATAATAATAATAAAATTAATAATAATAATAATAATAATAATAATAATAATAATAATAATAATAATAATAATAATAATAATAATAATAATAATAATAATTATGTGCATACACTTTGTACATGCGTCTTAGAGTGCTTTAAAGGGGTGCGAAAAGGAATAAGCAAACAAAAGAATTGTTTTTAAATCTTAGCTGCAGAATTATATGAAGAACCAAATATTTTATCTAACTCAAAGTCCCATACTTTCATTCCTCCGTGGTGAGCGCGGGAAGGGGTTAGGGAGGTGGGGGTGAGTGACCTTATTCGGGTTATATGTAACAAGCACTCCCCTTATTTGGGCTATTTGTAGCCATAACAAGCACTCCCCTTATTTGAGCTATGGGTAGCCATAACAAGCACTCACCTTTGATTGGATTATACATGTAGCCATAACAAGCACTCCTCTTATTTAGGCTATATTTAGCCATAACAAGCACTCCCCTTAATTGGGCTACATGTAGCCATAACAAGCACTCCCCTTATTTGGGCTACATGTAGCCATAACAAGCACTCCCCTTAATTGGATTATACATGTAGCCATAACAAGCACTTCCCTTATTTTGGGCTACATGTAGCCATAACAAGCACTCCCCTTATTTGAGCTACGTGTAGCCATAACAAGCACTCGCCTTGATTGGATTATACATGTAGCCATAACAAGCACTCCTCTTATTTAGGCTATATTTAGCCATAACAAGCACTCCCCTTATTTGGGCTACATGTAGCCATAACAAGCACTCCCCTTAATTGGATTATACATGTAGCCATAACAAGCACTCCTCTTATTTTGGGCTACATGTAGCCATAACAAGCACTCCATTTATTTTAGCTACATGTAGCCATAACAAGCACTCCCCTTAATTGGATTATACATGTAGCCATAACAAGCACTCCCCTTGATTGAGCTACGCGTAGCCCTAAAAGGCACTCCCCTTATTTGGGCTACATGTAGCCATAACAAGCCCTCCCCTTGATTGGATTATACATGTATGAATCCATAACAAGCACTCCCCTTATTAAGTAAATGTAGCCCAAAACAAGCTCTCCTCGAGTAACCATATTTAGGCTACATGCATAACCAAACACCGCTCTCTCCGAAACTGGCAAGGCTTAGGTTGCAACCATGTGTGTGTAATCGTTTGCCCTATTCCCCCAAAAATTATGTAGGCTAATCTAAACTCTATATCTTCTGTATGGCCGTGAATGCTGGACAATCACTAAAGACAGTGAAAATAAAATAGAAGCAACAGAAATGTGGTTTGCTGGCTGAGAGTATCATGGAAGGAAAGAAATCACATGAGGTAGTGCTCCATGAAGTCCACGTGGGACGCTCAATGTAAAAAACAACCAGGAAACGACTAAATGCAGTTTGTGGGACACCTGAATAGACATAAGGGTCTTGAACATCTAGCTCTCACTGACAAAATTGAAGGCAAAAGGGGCAGGGGTAGGCCCAGAATGACATACTTTGGGAAACAAATGGGTAACAGGAAAAAATCAGGGAAACGCAGCTTTATTTTTTAGAGCATCCGAGCAAAGGAATGAATGGAGAACCATGATCGACGATGTCTGTCGCAGATGAAGCTTAACCCTACCACGCTTACTACCCCTAACTCTACCTCCAACTCCTTTATATAAAGCTGCTATCGTTATTGCAACACACGTAGCCTATGAGTCAAAGCCAGAGACTGCCATTCTTTGTTTTTTCTTCATTTTGATAAATACTTACTTTTTACTTTTTTTTTCATCCTCTGTTGCCGTTAAGCGTCGAGGGGTATTTTGATAAATTGTAGCCTTTAATTTATGCACTGGCAGTGGTATACTGTCACCGAGCACAAGTATAAAGGTATTCTAAACTGAATGATGAAGATACCAAAATTTGCAAGCAAAATCAAACCTCCACTTCTATAGATCAATAACCGTGGCGGAAAAAAAGAGTAGATCTAGCCCAAATAAGGATTCCGTTTTAATGAATTCATGTATTATTTTTATAATCTACATGTTTTTGTGAAAGAATGTGTGTGTTTACTGGTCAAAAAGAAAATTATTAACTCCCGCCCCCCTTTTTTTCACACACACTTTTCCCACCTTATAAAAAAGTATAACGTACCAGAAACTTGTCCCCATATATAACTAGCACGACCCACAAAACAAGTTCCCCTTTTTCCAGTCAAAGTAGATCTCCTATATAACCCCTGCATTATTATACACGAGGTGTAGTACAGGAGAGTAGATACGGTAGGCCTACTTATTTGGAGAGCGTAAACAGAAGAAACCATGAGAAATTATTGTAATTTCCCAAAAGAAAGAGCTACAGAGCTGGCCTACCATAGAAAAAACACCTGTATCTCCCCTCGACGTTTGACGTCAACAAAGGGTGAAAAAGTCAAAGTAAAAGTAGGTAAACAGACGGGTTCAGATCAGGACAATTAAATGTGAGGCAGCGTGGTGGAATCAGGCTCTCGTCAAAATAATGAAATCGAAGAAAACAACAGTTTTGTTCCTGCTTTGCAATTTTTATCAAATTTTGGCTTTTTGCCACCTTTTATGTCCATTTACAAACACATTTATTTGAGGATTTCACCGAAAACGTTGATTAAAGGAACAAAAATATAAATTTACAGTATCCGTGGACTCTTCAGCTTTTGAATTTACCAAGCTTTGGCTGCCATTTTCTCGCTAATTTTACCTCTTAAATCAGGTTTCCCCCACCTCCTTCAATCCATAATATCTCCACTTCTATTGAAGATGGATAGGTAATTTTTTCATTGAAAGCAAGACAAACGAACAAGCTTTAAGATGATATCAATAACTCAATATGCCCCAAAATTGACGAGAGCCTGATTCTACCACGCTGCCTCACAAATTAATATTATTATAGCTTTTTAGAGAGCATCTGAGCAAACGGACAGATAGCGAACCATGACCGTCAAAGTGCGCCGCGGATCTAAGACGTGAGGATGACGGTAAGTAGAACGGTAAGTCGGCCTTGTAATTGCAAGCACACCGGAGAAAATAACAAAACCAAACCAAACAAAACCCAGCAGCTGAGCTCCAGTGTGCCGACCACGTGATGTAGCCTTCACGTGGCTGTATTTTACTGGCTTCTGGTACCTGAAGACTTTGGCCTTGCACTGATGGCTGCACCCGTAGACGAGGAATCTCTTGTTCTGAATACGGGGTGCCCACTACATCGGGCCGATCGCCCGACTCGATCGCCTCAAAAACAGATGTGTTTGTTTTCAGTTTCAGGCGATCGAGTCGAGCGATCGGCCCGATCCAGCCGTAGTGGGAACCCCGTATAATGCTTTCAAACTAAAGTCTTCGGAGAGATGAACTTTAGGTTGGCAATACTCTGGTGGATCCGGTATAATAATATTATGTATTCGAACAGTATTGTGACACCCTGACTTTTGTTTTAGTAAGAGTTTTACGGCACTTGCAACACAGTATGGTCATTTTATTAGTGTCGAAGATTAGAGTTTTTTAGGTTTAGTAGAGGTTTTACGGCGCTCGCAACTGCATAAAGTTATATGAACGCCAGAAGATTAGAGGTGTTACAAGAGAGTAACAAACATACAAAATAAAAAGTGGAAGATAAGGACGATATATGTTTGATAGGAAAGAAGAAGCAAACCACACCAGAACACCCGCCAATCACCCACACTCTAGATCTAGTGGTTCGATATATTATGTATTCGAACAGTCTTTTGATAACATGGCTTTTTGTTATTGTAAGAGTTTTACGATACTTGCAACATGATAAGGTCATTTTATTCGTGTCAAAGATAAGAGGGGTCACAAAAGAGTAACAAACGCAAAAAAAAAGAAGGAAGGGAGATAAGGACGATAGGTTTTTGATGGGGGGAAAGGAGCAAACCACACCAGAACAACCGCCAACCTCCCATTACCCTGACTTTGTGAGTGTTGGTCATAAAGGGATTTTCGTTCTGATTAACTCAGCAAGACAGTGGGAATTCAGTTTTAAAAAGTAAAGTTATTCCCGCATCCGATCCGGATATTGTGGATTGCCTTGTTAGTGAGACAACTTCCTGGGCCTTCGGCATATTGTGGTAGGGTGGCCAATTCCTTTCCACGCCGCCGTTACTTCCCCAACTCGAAGTCAGGTACCCGTTACTGCTGAGTGGGTAGGAGGGCGCGAAAAAAAATCCGTGTCCGAACCAAGGCTCGAACCCCGCCCGACTTTCCGCTTCGGAGACGAGCGCACTAACCGCTCCGCCATCGCACCCACGGGAAATTAGTTTAGGGACGAGAAAAATGATTTTGCTGCCAGGATAATAAGTTCTGTTGTCTCGGCCTGTTCTTGGGGGCTGTCAGTAAGGGTCAATGTGACGTCATGCACGAAAGAAAACTGAATACCCTAGAATGACAAATTTCTCTCTGCTCAGTACAAAGTTTTGACAATTTTGACGTAAAATTTTTTGAGTTTCACATGTCAAGATTTTTTAAAAACACAATACTTTGGAAATCTGGATAACGACTCAAAATAACCTTAGTATTTTGATGGAGCAGATAGAACTTTTGAAATCTGACCACATTAGTAACTCAAAACGGCCAAAAGTGTCAGATAGAACGTTAAAATGCTACTATTATTGAGAATTTTGTCACGACACGGAGGAATCAGGTGTTCGTAAATGTTGGGGCATATGGAGTTATTGATATTATCTGAAAGCTTGCTTCGTATATATAT